GACTTGCCCCGAGTCACACAGACAAATGCATGAGGTAGGATTTGAACTCAGGTCTCCCTGATTCTATATCCAGAGCTCTAGATGGATTAGATCATCTCTAAGGGACCTTCCATCTCTAATGCTATGAACTCAGAAGTCACTTCAGCTACACTGGGTCTCCTCATGTGTAAAATGAAGTGGTTGAATAAGATTTGAGGGTTTTTAACGTTTCTCTGGGTCCTGGGCAACAGTCTGGTGAAACCTAGGGAACCCTTCTTAGAATCACATTTTTAAAGGCAGAAAATAAAATACTTAGAAATTGAAAAGAAACAAGTTATATCGACATGCAGTTATCAAAACATTTTTTTAAGTTCATGGACCCCAAGTTAAGAAACCCTGGAGACGACAGCCCTTCCAACTCTAAGGCTGGGATCCTGTGAGTCCCTTCTCTGGGACTCAGTCTCCTCATCTGTAAAGTGGGGAGTTGCCCTGGATGTCCTCTGAGGTGCCTTCCAATGCCAAATCTTTGACTTCAGAAATTCCTACCAACATCCAAGGTGTGCGAGTGTCCTCGAGGTGACGGCTGGCACATTCGCAGAGTCCAGACAAAGAGGGAGTCAAAGAATGAGCCGCAGACGGGGATCTGGTAAGGAGCTCCTGGCTGCTGCTCTGGGCCAGACTGGAGCGGGGCGCTGGGGGAGATGCCAGAGGCGTTCAATTTCAGGTCAGGCCAGATTCGATCTGGAGGCAGCAAAGCCATGGGGCAGCTCCCCCACCACTTCAAAGAATCTAGTCCAGCCCTGGTCCCAGGTATCCTTGGATGACCACTTCTGGTCTTAGAACCTTCCAGCCCTCCAGGCATTTGTTTCCAAGGCCACTAAGGTTCTAGGATAATCCAGACTCCCAAGCAAAGCTCCAAAGGTCTCAGGATACAGATTGCCTGCCTAGTCCACAGTCCTGGGTCTCAGGGAAGAACCAGGGAGCCTTTGAACTCCAGAGAAAGGGGTCTGCCCTTTACTCAGGGAACAAACGGGAGGGAGTGAAGGGCTTTACGTAGAGACACATGATGCATAGAGGCAGGAACTTGGAGACCAGATGCCCTGGGTTCAAATCCCACCTCAGACACATTAGTCATGTGACCCTAGATAACTCTCTCAACCACTGTGACTGTGTATGTCATGAACCCGGGTTGTTGGGACCAACTGAGATGAACCATAAAAAGGTTTCACAAACCTTAAAGCAACATAAATGTGAGCTCTTGGACCAATATTGTTGTTTGGGGGGGGGGGGGGTCTGGCTTGGGTTGGCTTAAGACTAATTGCCTGTGAAGCCCCTTCCAGCTCAGAGATTCTGGGACCTCCGGGGGAAGGGAGCTTTCCTCTGAGGTTCAACTAAAAACCCCAGGTTATTTCTAGCTTTGTAAACCAGACAGCGAAAAGAAACTCCTACCCCGTCCCCAGCCTGTCCCCCCCCAACCCCCACCGCCCCCCACCGCCCCGACCGGGGAGGAAACCTGGATGACAGACTCAGGGGGAAACACATTTCTAGCCACAGCACCCAAACCCACCAGGACGGGCGGGGGAGGGAAGGACAAGGATGAGACAGTAACCAGAGCCAACCTCGTTGTTTGTTCAGCCTTCAAAACAGTTTATTCCAGAATCCGAGGTGAACCCCGTTTGATAGCTGAGTACTGCTGGACACATTGATCCCAGCAGCCACAAGCTTTCTAGACACAGAGGGGAAAAGCTTTGGGTGAAGAGTCTGATTTTTGCATTTCATTCATTTAGCACTGAGCAGACCGTGGGCCCAGCGCTGGGCTGGCCACCATAGGGATGAGAATATGCATGAGGCCCAGACACAATTCCTGCCCTCCAGGAGCTGAAAGTCTGCAGAGGGCACCAAACAGGGACACAGAGCCATCATCCAGGGCAGTCGGCGACCAGTGCCCAGCAGCCCAACAGCTTTCTTGATGTTCCCCAAACTGCTTCCTCATTCCACACCTTTGCCCAAAGCAATCCTCCACACCTGGAATGCCCTCCCTTTTCAGATCCTGCATTTCCTGCAAGGCTCCTCTCGAGGGTCCTTTCGTAAGAGAAACCTCCCCAGACACTCCAGGGGCTAACGCTCCCTGCTCCCTCCTTCCAATTGTCATGCCTCCATTTATTAGCTTACATGCCACGATCAAATGACATCATCTTTGTAAAGCACTTAGCACAATGCCTGGCAAACAGGAGACACTTAATACATGCTTCTTCTTCCCCCCCCCCATGCTGCCTCAGTAGATCGTAAGATCCTTATGCCCCTAATGCAAAATATATGAAAATGCAGACATCTCTCTCCTTTCATCCCCCTTCATCCAGTGGTTTTCTGCATGGAACATAAGCTACCTGAAGGCAGGAAGTATTTGTCTTGGTAATTAAGCATTTAAGTTGTCCGCTATATCCAGGGCACATATGCTTAGCACAGAACCTAGTACAGTGGCTGACCAGCATAGCAGGCTTCTTAAATTGCCAGAGTGGTCTGCACCCACTGATCCAAAGGGAATAAGAAGCAGTCAGTAAACATTTATTAGTTGTCTATGTGCCAGGCACTATGCTAAACCCAAGAGATTCAAAGAAAGGCAAAAGACAATCCTTGCCCTCAGGGAGCTTATAATCTAATGGAGGAGACATCAGGAGAACAAATCTATACAAAGCAGGCTCTACACAGGATAAAAAGGAAATAATTGACCGAGGGAAGGCACTGGAATTAAGAAGGGTTGGAAAGACTTCCTGTAGGAGGTGGGGTTTTAGATGAGATGGAGAGGAAGCCGACGAGGTCAGTGGTCAGAGCAGAGGAGGGAGAGCATTCCAGGCATGGGGGACGTCCAGAGAGAATGGCCAGAACTGAGAGATTCCTGGGACAGCCAGAAGCTCAGCATCTCTAACCTGAAGGCTAGGGAGTGAGATGTAGGAAGACTGGGAAGGTGGGAGGGGGTGGGTCATGAGGAGCTTTGAATGTCAAACAGCATCTTGTATTTGATCCTGGGGGCCACAGGGAGCCCCTGGGGTTTGTTGAGCAGGGGCTGACACGGTCGCACCTGGAAGAGCAGGAAGATTAGGAATCTTTGGTTTGCTTTGGCCAATGTAAGCTGCCTTAACACCGAACCTGTAGGACCTTGAGCAGATGACTCCTTCTCATCTGTAAATGCAGGGGCTGGACCACATGAGGAAACTGAGTCAGCAAGGGAGGGGCAGCAAATGGCCCCCAATTCAAACGCTTTACATTTTGGGTGAATAAAAGGGAAAAAAGAATAGCATTTCTCTTACTTTTTAACAGTTTCACTTTAATTTGGATCCTTTCCAGATTGAAGTCTTTTGATTCTAAATTAAAATGTGTATTATGTTCTTTTAAAAAAAATGCAATCAAAATGTGAATACTTATACTTAAGGAGTTGAGTTGGGGCTCATCCCCCAAATTAGGTTTGATTCTTTATTCATACAAGTCCAAACAGCCCTCACCACCCCAAGGCCTCCTCATGGTCTGAAGGTGGCCATGGATTTTCAAAGGCTGGGCAGCTAGGTGGCACCACAGTACACGAGTCACTTCACCCTGTTTGCCTCAGTTTCCTCATCTGTAAAATGGGCTGGAGAGGGAAATGGCAAACCAGTCCAGTGTCTCTGCCAAGAAAAACCCACATGGGATCACGGAGGGTTGGACGTGACTAAATGTGTCAGTGGAACATGAGCTCTGGAAACTTCCTCTACAAGATGGACGGGCCTTGAGGACAGTCCTGCAAGAGTGTGAGGACGGAGGTGATGAGCACAAGTTCCACCCCAGAAGTCCTGACTGTGAATGTGCGACATGATGGGGGACGGCAGGATCAGAAATGGGGGAAGATCTGAGCGTGCGAGGAGGCCACGGGGAGGGGGAAGGTGAATGAGAAGAGACTGAAAGTGAGGGAGGGACAAGTCTGGGGGACTGAGGGCGAATCACGGCACTCCCTCCCCTCAGCCAGAGGAGACCTGTAAAAGCCAGAACAAGAAATGCACATTCCCACATACGGCCAGAATTCACTCTCTTGGCCTTAAAAACCCTCCATCACTGCCCCTTCCTGGCTCCAGTCTCCTCACACCTCACTCCCCGACACACTCTCTTCTACCCAGTGAACCCCCTCACCCGTGCCCCTCGGCACCAGCCTCCCGGCCATCCTAGGAACAAGGATCTCTCAGCTCTGAGCGTTCTCTGGCTGTCCCTGGAAGGCTCTCCCTCCTCTGTTCTGACCACTGACCTCCCCAGCTTCCTCTAAGTCCCAACCAAAACCCCACCTTCTACAGGAAGTTTCCCCCACCCCTCAATCCCGGCGCCCTCCCTCTGTTATTTCCTCCTTATCCAGTACATAGCTTGCCCTGTATACCTCCGCATGTGGTCTTCCCATTAGAGCGTGAGCTCCCTGAGGGCAGGGGCTGTCTTTGGCCGTTCCTTGAATCCCCCAGGGCTTGCTGCAACTTTCTGTAACCCCTCTATCCCCAAACTATATCAACTGCTGCACACTTAGTGCTTAACATGGTACCTGGCACACAGCAGGTGCTTAATGTTTGTTGGCTTTGGGGGGAGGGTCTCCAGATGCTCCTGTCTGCAAATGACATTGTGCCAATTTCATCAAGCTCAGGGACCCTGCAGGGCCTCTGGGAACAACCTGTGACCTCTCAGAGATCGTGGCCAGCCATCCACACAGGAAAAACAAAAAGGATGAGGAGGGTCCACCACCAGGCCAGTTAGGTGGTCAACACATAGAATTTGTCCTGGAGCATGTGTTTACACACACACACACTCTGACACCATCCACATACATACACACATACCCCATGCACATCACAACACACTCCATGTACATCACAACACACTCCATGTGCACACACACCAGAAACATAGATTCTCTCTCTCATACACACACACACAACCACACAGATTCTCTCTCTCACACACACACACACACACACACAACCACACAGATTCTCTCTCTCTATCACACACACACAACCACACAGATTCTCTCTCTCACACACACACATACATACACACACACACACACACACACACACAGAGTCTTAGAACTGACGGCATGGACAATGATTTGGACTCAGAATTCAATAGGAGAGATGACTGGATGGCCGATTCACTGACACATTTGAGCATTATTTTTTTTTCCCATTTAATCAAAATGGAAACAGTTCAACTTTGAGGATTCTAGGTGGGAGACATGGTTCATATTGGGTTTATTAGTATTTGTGGTGAATGCTGATTCTTTTATAATTTTCTTAAAATCCCTGTCAAGGCTCTGTCCCCCAGGGGGCAGCCCCTTGGCATGACTAGAAGCCCCCCCACCTGCCGCAGAGGTGTAAACACATTCTGTGATGAGCCAGGGACCTCATACCAATGGACAGCAACAACTCTACTCCCTTACATATTTGTCCTTAACCGACAGGCTAGAACATGCTCCTAATTCTCCCGTCACCAATCATTCTCCCTCCCTCTCTTCTTTTTCCTTTTCTGCCGGCCAGAGCTACCGAACACTGGACGTATCTGAGACCACACAAAGAAGAAAGACGGGTCAAGGAGGAATAGGAGCAGAGCAGGTTTGACCCTAAGAGAACTCAAATTCACACAGTTCTTCCCCTGCCTTTGTTGGAGAGGTGAGGGCCTACAGGTGCAGAATGGTGCACGCAGTGGAACCAAATGTCTGCCCCAGCTCTTTGTTACAAAGGCACGTTCACGGGCGGGTGGAGAAGGAGGGGCATGGTGACGTCCAGAAAGGACTGGCTATGAGCCGCAGTGCTCACAATGCGATGGCATTGCAGAAGGAAGACAGAAGGGAGAAGAGAATAGAAGAGAAAGCCCTCCTCCACACCGCGGGTCAGCTCTGGCTCGCTCCCTTTACACCAGGCACAGGGGCTGCTGCAGAAAGTGGGCTCCATGCGGATGGGGAAGGGATGGCTTTCCTAGGAGCCCTTTGCAGCCCACCTGGCACCCCAGAGGCGCTTCACGCCTGCCTCTTCAGGTCCCAGGACTGGACCACAAGGACGCTGGGTTTCTCACCCCTTCAAACCCCATGGACTATTTCTAAGAAGGGAAAAGAAGCAGGGGAGATGAGGAATGGCCCTGGAAGGGCCACTCACAGAAACCACAACAAACACGTGCCACTTTCTCCTACGATAAATTTGACCTAAACTTAGCACATATTAGGGCAGGACAGCAGGTGGAGGGAGGGGTAGGAGAGAGGAGACTCAACTATGTCATCAGTTCCAATCCATGGTCACACTGACCCATGTGGAAAACCCATGAAATTCCCTGCTGCCATCTAAGACAACCAGCAGGCCTGGCTGCAAAGGCTGAGCCTTGCTCAATTCCCACAGGGCTCACGGGCTAAGGCCAATGAAGGGGGCAGCAGGCTTGGGAGAGATGCAGGAGAAGCCTTCCTTGGTAGGACTGCCCCACCTGAGCCACGCAGCCCCAGAGGGGTGGGCAGACCGCCACCTCCTAAGCCCTTTACTTAGAGTAGGCACAGTGCGGCTGGCATCGTCATTCAGGCTAAAAAATAAATCTGGTTCATCTGCATGTAAAAAGCCAGGACTCCCCCAGAGCCCCCCAAGGCACTGTCAGAGATCACCCACAGACCTGGCATCTCACCCTCGGGCTACTCCCAACCATGCCCTGTTGCACTCCTAAGGGCTTGTGAGGTAAAATACAACGGGGTCACTCTGGCGGCTTAGAAGCCCACCAGCGGCACAGGGGAGGGGTCTCACAGTCAGTCGGTGTCCAGAGCCCAAGTCCACACCAACATTCACGTCGTTAGCGGTCCTCACGGCACAGGGCAGACGGTCCTCCTTCCACACGGATAGGAGGGAGTGGTTTGCAAAATGAAAACAATTCTAATATGGGTAACCCCGTCCTCTCTCTCCTTCCCTGGCAAGGGCCCCACGGATGACACCGGAGACCATGACATCCCTCTGCAGGTCTTCCTGGTATGTCCATTCCCGGGCTGAGGACGCGGGCGGGGATGCCTGTGTCACCTACAGAGGTGGAGGTGGGGGTGCTGTATCAACTTCGCCACCAACTCTTCTTCCGTTGGCTCCTCCAGGACGTCCCTGCGGGAGGCACAGTGAGAGACAAGAGAGGCGCTGGCCCAGAAGCCCACTCCCATCTCCACGATGGACCATCCGTTAAGCCATTATCATCCAAGCACCTACTATGCGCCGGGCCTGGGTACAGTGCTGGGGCCATAAAGACATAAGGGTGACGCTTTCTGTCCTCAGAGAGCTTGCATTCTCAGCTCTTCAACAGAACATAGGGTCCCTGGGAGCAAGCCTATGTCCTCCAGCCTGGCACATAGTAGGTGCTCAGTGAACGTTTGTTGGATTAGACCAAAGGGTTCTCACAGAAGAGCCTCTGGCTGCAGACAGGCAGGAGGAGGCCCGGGCTGTTCATTAATCTGAGCAGAAGCTAAGCCCCCTGACGCCCCACCCAGCTTCTCCACTCGGCACATCACAGGCTCTGGAAGCAGTGTTTCTGCCAACCCACGGGCGTGATGGAGCATTTCCCACTCCCAGTGGTGCCTGACACATAGTAGGCATTTTATAGATGCGGCCAGCCAAAGGGAAGGACAATCCCCACTTTCACTCAGAACCACCTTCTTCTCGAACGTCCTCCACTTTGCACTCTGGGCTCCAAGGGAGAGCAGAGGCAGAGGAAGGTGAGCTGAGTGGTCAGGGCCCCTCCAGGCTTGTGGCAGAGGGACTCACCATGCCCACCACGCACTGACTCCCACACAGGGGCCTCTCTACCCACCCCACCCTCACACATGCTCCAAACCGGGAGCGGGCGGCCAGCACACGAGACCTCAGGCCTCATCACTGCTTACCTAAACATAAGCTCCACCGTCACCTGGTATGGTGCCTGGCACGACCCGGGCACAGGCTGCTGCTGGCCTCGGCGGTCCCACTTGTGAATGAAGTTCTGGAGGGGGAGAGGAAAGAGGAGGGGTCTCCATCTGACCAAAGGTCTGACTCAACCTCCCCCCGCCCCCTGGGCTGCTGACTTAATTCTCTGGTGAAAAGGCTTGGAAGGGACTTGAAAGGCTTTCTAGTCCAACCCCAGTATTACAGATGAGGAAACTGAGGCCCTTTCTCTCCCCTCCCAGTTACAATCCTAACCCCGGGCTCGCCCAGCCAAGAGGAAGCCGAAGGACAGACGGGGTGAGGAGGGCCCTCCCCCCATAGCGCTGTTTTTTTTGTTTTTTGTGAGGCGGTCATGGTCACCCAGGGTCACACAGCTAGCAAGTGTCAAGTGTCTGAGGCTGGATTTGAACTCAGGTCCTCCTGACTCCTGGGCCTGTGCTCCATCCACCGCACCACCTAGCTGCCTCCGCCCCAGAGTGACCCCTGAGCCTTGGACCACTGGGACTTGCCTGAAACCCTGAGAGGTTTCAGCGACTTGCCCAGGGTCACCAAGCTCGTAAACGTCAGGGGCAGGATTAGAATCCAGGGCTCTGGACCCCAAGGCCAGTGCTCATTCCTCTGCTGCACAAAACCACACTATTACATACATGTATATATGGATATGTGTGCACATGCAGACACGTATGTAAAAAGACAGGGTTTTTGAATTTCTTTTCATTCCAACTAAGCCCTCACTCTCTTTATCACCCCAGCTCTTCTCCACCCCCCACTCTGGCTGTACCTCAATAATTATTAAGAGGCAGCTTTGGGGCCATCGAAGGGGAGGTGTGGAGCCAATAGTGGGATAGGTACAGGAAATAGATTTGGGGGGAGGGGGAGCGTGGACCTGTGACGAGAGGCACCCGGGAAGGACGGGTAGGGATGTGCCGCTATCTGCATCCCTGGGGGGGTCCTCCCGAATCGATAAGCTCGCAGAGTCACCAGAGTAGTGAGTTTAAGGGGCCATTGTGTGGTAAGGAAAAGTACAAAATGTATAGAGGGGTGGGACGCAGGGTGGCCTAGTGGGCACCAGGAAGTCCCCCCTCTGACACGTTCTGGCCATGGGTCTCTGGGCGGTCCCTTCACTCCGCGGTGCCCCCAGAGGCTGGCTCTCTAAGGTTAGAGTTAGCTCAAGGGCGGGAGTTCCCCACCCCGGGGCAGACACTCCCAAGAAGGACGTCTAGGCACATGCTGGAAATCAGCAATGGTCAGTTACGGGTCTGCCTCGGGCTTCAGACAAGGGTCTGATGTGAGGCTAACAGCCCGGGCGGACCGAGAGCGACACACTGTCTGTCACCGCCCCTACCTCCAGAATCAGGGCCACAAAGAGATTCATCCAGACGATGGAGGACACCAGCCACCAGGCCACGAAGTAGAGCTTCGACCACCTGCGGGGAGGGGGATGACACGCTTCCTGTGACCCGCCCCCAATGCCACCCTCCACCGGGCACTGCCCCCTGTCCTCAGTCACGCCCCTGCCACCTCAGCATCAGTTCAGTCTAGATATACTGGCCTAAGGCTGGAAGGGTCCGCCGGGGCATCTAGTTCAGCCCCTACCTCAATACCTGCTGAAGAGCCCCCCAGTGAGGGAGAGCCCCTCAACTGCCAAGGCGCTCCAGCCCCCGGTGGGACGGCTCTGAGCATCGGGGAGCTCTTCCACACTGTCTCTTCACCGCTCCTGGTTCACTCCCTTGGCAGGGCTGAGCAGAACAAAGCTGACCCCTCAGCTAGGGACGGCTCTCCGGGAGCACCCTCCTCCGGCCCCATTTCCTTCTGCCCGCTCCCACCTCACGATCCCCTCCAACGGGTCAATGGCCTTCCCCAAATCTGACCCCCAAACTGCTCCGATGGGGTTCGAGTCTACCTCTAACCCCGAGCTCCCTACAAAGGGGCTTTAAAAAGACGGCAAGGAAGAAAACTGGCCGAGAGGGAACTCGAGCTGACGGGACGTGGCGGACAGGGCACACGGCCCCTCCCGTGCCACACGATGGGAACCTGCCACGGCCAACAGCCTTCCCCAAGCCCGCACCCACCACTTACGGGCTGGAGTAGCGCGTGTACACATCCAGGAAAACCTGCCAGTTGTTGACGACCATCACATCCCAGAGAGTCACCAGGGCAGCCTACGGACACACGGGACCAGAAGCCATGAAGCAGAGGGAGCACGGGGGCAGGGCCGGAGGAGAGGAGCACGGGGGACGGGCAAGGCGGGACTCACCGCAAAGTCATCGAAGTTATTGGGCCAATACTCCAGCTGCTCAAAGGTACCACATGGCGCGGTGCCGTTGGCATAGACCAGGCTGCGAAACACAACGAACGGGCACTGAGACCGGCACAGGGCAGTGCAGCTCAGCAGGAACCCCCAGCAGCCAGGAAGACCCGGATTCAGGTTCTGCCGCCGGCCCTTACTGCGTGACCCGGCCAACAGACTCATCGGCAAAATGACCACAGCAGTGCTACAGTCCCAACAGGACTGTTGGGACCAGGCGGGCTTGTGCAGGCGTCATTAAAGCCCCGCCCCGCCCTTCCCCCAGGCCGTCCAGGGGACAGTCAGGAGCTGGGTCCTGACACCGAGCTGGCCTCTCACAGGGCAACTGCTCCCTGGTTCCTGGGTCTGCCCCTGGGGCCAGCCTGCAGAGACTTGGAAGGTGGGGGTCATGCCCTGCCCCAACTCCTCACGCCGAGAATTATGTTCCCACATAAGCCTCCTCAACAACGTGCGCCCGAGGTCCTTCCTCAGGCTGGCGGCCCTCCCCTGGACCCTTCCCAGGTCATCCGCGGCCTTCTTGAAAACGTGGCCCCCAGGCCCTGAGCTCCCCTCGTGCAGGATGCCTCCCCTGCCCGTCCGTTCTCAAATCCTCTCCCTACCTCCCCACGCCAGGCTAACCTGCTGTTTCCTGGAGGGGATTCAATGGCTCCTTGGAACAGGCCAATCCCAACAATGGCAAAAACATAGTAAACCACCTGGAAAGAAAAAAGCCAAAAGGGCTTTCAGACAGCTATTAGCTACATTTCACGGAGGCCAGTGAATCACAGACTTAGAGCTTAAAGGGACCTTGGCTAACCCCACGTTTTACAGAGGGGGAAACTGAGGCCCAGAGGTGACGGTCGCACAAATATTAAGAGGGCTCAAGGCCAGGTTTCTGACTCCAAAGCCAGGGCAGTTCTGGAACGTGTTGATTTTCTGGCGAGGTGCTTTTATTCCTCCTCAAGAGCTAAACATGAGCAAAGAGGTCTGAGGGCAAGAGGGCAGATTCAGGGAAGGCTACTGGGCTCTGTGGAAGGGAGGGGATCCTTTCCAGCTGGCATCCTGGGACGTCCCACGTTCCTCCAGAAAGGGAACCCTGCTGGTACCAAGTGAGCCTTTTGGCCATTAGCCACTAGGTGGCATCAGATGAGTGACTAAGGAGGGCTGTGCCGACGTGAGGCCAGTGGCCCCTGCCCAGGCTGGCCCTGGCCCTGGGTGGGGAGGAGGCCCTGCCCGCCTCTTCAGGGCCCATCCACCACAATACAACTGGGAGCCACTGTTTCCTCAGCGGAGAATTTCTCCATCACTGGAGAGGCCTATCATGTGGGAAAAGGGTTTACTCAGAAGTCAGAGGATCTGGGTTCAAATCTCACGTTGGATGATTACTATCTGTGTAACTTTGGGCAAACTGCTTGATCTGGGCCTCAGTTTCCTCCTTTGTGAAAGGAAAAGTGTATGGAAGGGTCTTGAGGTCCCTTCCCAATCCAGATGGATGAGCCTAAGATCTCAGCAGATGGTCTTTTGAAGACAGTCTCAAACGGTCCCCCCAAAATGGCCATGCAGTGGGGCTTTTTCAGGGTGTAAGCCAAAAGTGGTTTCTATCACTGGGTTTTTAAAAAGGAAAGGTCTGCAGGCAATGGAGTACAGTTAAAAGGAGTGCCAGACGACCAGGCTAGGGAGGGCAGACCCTTCTGCGGTCAGCTGGCCAGCCTTCCTCAGAGCCTGCACAAGAGCTGACGTGCTCTCTGCCCCAGGCCTTGAAACAACCACACACACACACACACACAGACAGACACACACACAGACACACACGCAGACACACAGACACACACACACAGACACACACACACAGACACACACAGACACACACACACAGAGACAGACACACACACAGACACACACGCGCGCGCGCGCACACACAGACACACACACGCAGACACACAGACACACACATACACACACACACACACACACACACACACACAGCCTCCCTAGAGACCACAGCTGCAGACACCTAGGGGACAGGCCTGGGGGGCACAGGAATGGCCTGACTTACCACCAGGATCCCTGCAAAGGCTCTCATGTTTCTGACCAAGTCCAGGAGGGTCCCAGCCACCAAGGACATCAGCTAAAAAGAAGACAGTCAAGCCCGTTTCCCTGCAGAGACACAGCTGCCTGGGCTGAAGGCTGTCACTGCTGGGCAGGAGGGAGGCCCAGGTCCTGTTGCCCCTGGGATCTGGCCTGTCTGTTCTGCAGGCCCCACACCACCCACACCCTCAGGGCAGGGTCCTCAGCTGCCAGGGGATTCCTGTGCCCCAGGACTACGGGTGCAGAACCTGGCATCCCCAGGCAAGGGCTACTGGGTCAGCTGGTCTTTCTTAACTGTTTTTCTTTATTACAGAGAAAACTGGGGGAGGGAGGACCAGCACGAGATAGGAAAATGATTGCTATTTAAAACAAAAGACACCGAAGACGCCTCAACCAAACTGGCGCTGCCTCACTGACGGCTCTCCCCAGCTGTGCGAGGAATGAGGGCTGAATGGAGCAGGGGCCCCTCGGGAAGCCGGGGCTGGGCTCCCTGAGCCTTCGGCGCTCAGTCCAAACTCATGACCCGTCTTCCTCCCAGGATACTAGCATTAGTCTGCCCCAGGGCTCTCAATGTTACTGAGGGCAGAGCAGCTGAAATGCCAACAAACCACCACCCCGCACCCCCTGCCCCACCCACTGACCTTCATATTTGGGATGATCCTTAAGAACCGAAACACAATGAACATATTCACCAGCCTGCTCATGTCCCACAGAGACAAGAGGCCCAGCATCTCGGGCTTCCTACGAGACAGGGAGGGAGGGAGGGGTGAGCACAGAGGCCAGGCTCAGGGCCTCGGCAGCTACTCAGCAGACCCAGAGAGAGGGAGGGGCAGAGCCACACCAGGCACCAGAGCAGAAATGCCCAGATGGAGATCCTTGACCCGCTGGTCAAACCCTGACCTCAACTCAAGGCGGCCCCTCCAACACATTGACCTGACCGTCATGCTGAAGCCACGTAAGCCTAATCCTCGCCTGAGAGCCTGAGCTCCCGAGGGTGGGGAAAGTCCAGTTTGAGTCTGCACTGTGTGCCTGGTGCACAGTAAGTGCTTATAAATGCTTGTACAACTGAATCAAATTGAAGTGGGAACGTTACCATCATGGTAACTTTCTCCATTGGCCACATCCTGGGTATCAAAGGGTATTAAGAAAACAGGAAGGCACTTGTTAAAATTCTTCATTAGATTGTAAGCTCCCTGAGGACAGGACTGTTTATGCCTCTCTCTGTATCCCCAGCACTTAGCACAGTGCCTGACACATAGCAGGTGCTTAATAAATGCTTGTTGCCCTGTTAAAGGGGGAGCACCCAGGGGTTGTTTTACCAGTATGGGCGGCACTATCAGGGCCTTCTTCATCGGCTAAGGGCCACCAGCCAAAGCTGGGCCCGAGCTGAGCCCAATCCCAAAGAATCCCAGAATACTAGACCCATCTAGTCCAACCCATACATGAACAAGCCTCCACAGCACCCCCGATAATTAGCCATCCAGCCTCTAGCTGAAGACTCCCAGTGACAGGGGGTGCACTACGACCAGGGGAAGGTCTGTTCCACTTTGAGACAACCCGAATTCTCGGAAGTTTTTTGTTTTAGGGGTTTTCCTGACATCAGGAAATGAAGCATCTCTGCGGCTTCCTCCCATGTTCTGCGCTCTGGGGTCAAGGACAGCAAGGCGAATAGAGAGAGCGTCCTTGGAGCATCATGCCCGCCCACCCGCCCGTCCCTGAATCTCCCTTTCTCCATTCCCACTTCTTTCGACCAGCCTGGGCAACTTCTAGGCTTCACCCAGTTTACCCTTCTTAGAAGGTGGTGCCCGGCCCTGAACACAGGACTTGGGCTGGGGCCGACTGAGGCAGAGAAACACAGCCTCAAATCACGCCGGTCCTTCACCAGCCCCCAGGTCAGCATGGTGACCTTCGGCCAAGGAGCAGAGTATTTGCTCACTGTCCGCCGGGGACCTCACGATGCCAACAACCCACCCTTGTCTTCTCCGGCCAAGACCATCAGCCATAGAAACGGTAACCCAGATGGGGACGTCCAGCAGAGAAAGCTTCCAAACAATTCGGAAGCCCAAAGCATTCACGTCCAGCTGGGCCCGTGGCCTCCTTCCCCACTGTTCATACGCTGGCGCTCAACAAGGTGGGGGCCACCAGGGTGGCAGGAGTCACCACCAAGGCTCCTCCCCACCACAAAAGTCTAGGAGACCATGACAAAGCCCTGTCAGAATCTGTCACATTCTTCCTACCAAGAGCATAAAACAGGTGCAAGGCACAGGTAGGAGGAAAGAAGCTGCCAGGCTCAGAGTCAGAAGGACCCAATTCAAATCCAGCCTCAAGACCTCACTAGCTGTATGTCCTTAGACCAGTCACCTTCCCTCTTAGTGAGGCCTTAGGCCGGTCACCTTCCCTCTT